CAAGATAACGTTTTTGTGATGTCGTTGATGTGACTTCGGAAGTGAAGTACTTTGTAATGACGATGTCGTTGTTCTTTTCGGTCACACCTTCTTGAAAAGAACAGGACAGTGCCTCAAAAAAGATCCCGTTGCTGTTCACGTCGCAGCACACTGAAAGAACTGCCGTGATACAGAAGAGCACCAACATAGTGTTTTTTTTGTTTTCTTAATTTCTTTGGAATTTTTTGGGATGTAAAAAGTATTTCACAACAATCGATTTTTTGTCCATATATTTTATTGTAGTTTTTGAGTTTAATATCTTAAAGCATTCCACTTTAATTTGATAATATTTTGTTCTTTATTGTATTACATGATTGATTTATTGATTTGAAAATGGCAAAATGATGTTTTATTCACCGAACAATACAACTTAGTATTTTATTCATTTGAGACTAAAAAACAAAATAATTGGATACCTTTTGAGAGGAGTTGTCTGCTGTATAGCGGGAAGTATGTTTTATTTCGCTTATTGGTTTATTAAGGGATTCATAAAAAATAATCGAAGTGTCGACCCCGGAGTGCAAAACTTCGGGGAAACAGATTTTTTTATTTTTTCTGATACTATTAAAAATAGAAAGTGTATTGAATTGTGGGGTTTTTATTTTTTTTTTCTTTTTAATGGGTTTTTAGTTGCTTGTACTATAATTTGTTATAATTTTTTTTATTTAAATTAGATATAAATTATTGTAATGCATATTTGAGAAGGACAATTAATATAATATTGTCACTTTATTATATTTTTATTATTTTACTTCTTCCTATTTGGTTTGAATAAATAAAAATAATTGCGATTTTGAGAAGTTGTACTTCGATTGTAAATTAGATGGTTATCTAATAACAAATAATAATCCAATTTACCAATAATTGATAATTAAAAATGATTATTTTTTTAAACGCTGATTTTCTATTAAAAGAATGTTAACTTCCACACTTATTATCAAAAACAATATAAAATGATTGGAATTTTTTATTATGATTAAAAAGTATTCAATGTATTGTAATTTATATCATAAAATATGGTATAAATAATTTTTCAAAATTAAAAAATGAAAGTGGAATAACAAAATTATTAAACTTCATTATTTTCATCATTTTTAAAATAAAGTATAATTTTAATAATATTATATAATAAGTAAACTATATTTTTTTTACAATACCAAAAAAACGTATCATAACATGTAATTAAAACAATTAAAATAATTTATTATTATTTTTTTTAAAAAAATATAAATTGTTTATAAAAATTATAATACACATTATTAATGAAATCTCCATAATTTAAAATTTAAAAATTTAACTAAATTTAACAATATCACTAATAAATTAATTAAAGCAATGAAGTCAACATAGCGATTCTGAATCTATATAATGATGGTTTACATGCATGGACTGAGCTTTCTTTTTATAAAAATCATTTACCATAGTATTAACCAATTTATAACATAACCATCAAAAAACAAAATTATAAGAAAACAATAAATATAATTAAACTTCCACAAGTTGTAAATAACCTCGTTGTGTTGGTATTTCGATATTAAGCACTTTGACAAGAACTGAACTTATTGACACGGTCACTACAGCCAAGAATGACAATCCAAGAACAAGAAAAGAACACACAATTGAAGAGACGATGGAGTGGTATTCATTTTCTTCTGAGTCAATAGTGCAAGTATTACACAACTCAAACATTTGAGTTGAAGGCACAAACTGTTGTTCACACTGACACATCAAGTACTTATTGTGTTGGTCGACAGTTGTATCGATACAGCACTCGTTCTATTTGTTAAACTTTATTATTATAATACATATACCATATATTATATATTATAATATATATACTATATTATTATCTATTTTATTTACTCAACAAACTGTCTTCTCAAATTGTCGCTTCTCCTGTTCTGAATTAAACGTAAAAGTCCCATAAATTGGGCAAAGCATTAAAATGAAAAAAATTGCTCCCAATATGAAGAATACAACGACGGCAATATTGATAACATAGATCACTTTGTTGTTAATAAATTTCTCTTTTAAAAGGTGGAGAGCCCCAATGAAGAGTGAGACCGCAAAACACCCGCCAATAACAGCAAGAGCCAATCCAAAGTACACTTCGCCAAATAATTTATTTCGCGATGGTGACACTACTGTCGATAGATATTTCGTTAAATAACAGCCAAACCCGACTCCTCCAAAGAAACAGATCTTTTTGTCATATTACAGAAGACGATATAAGTCGATTCTATTATTTAATAATAAAATATTAACAAACGGCTATGAGCATACCAAGAACAACATAGAACACACTGGCGACTAAACGAAAGACGTTGAACCGTGAAATCATCGGTGTATGTTTGAAGAGCGATTTGGAGTTTTGTTTTGAATTAATGTGTTGTCTTTCCTAAAAGTTATGTTGGAATGTCGAAAACTAGCATTTTACTATAGTATTCTAGTTAATAATAAGAACATTTACTAGAGAAAAGTACAAAAATGATATTAAAATAGAACATATAGGTATAATAATTTATAATATATTTTACCTGAGGTTTAAGGAAAGTTTGTCCAATTATAAGTAACTATTTTGTAACTAGAAGTTTGTTTCTGTAGAAACTATTTTTACATAATGTCTTTTTGTAATTTAGTTATTAGTATGTAGTTTGTTCATTCATTAAATTATAATAAAACTGAAAATATTAAAAAAATAATAAAATGGAAAGGAGTAATTTATTTACTTTGATAATCAAAGTTTTTTATAATAAACAACTGAATGAATTCTATTGTTTATGAAATTTAAAATTGTATACTTTGATGTGACTACACTTTATAAATCGTATTATGACATAAATGAATTCGTTTTGTCAAACTATTGCAAATCGTTTTGGTTACTAAAATTGATTTATTTTGGATTCGGAGATATAACTTTCTCAAATAGGAACTTATGGACTTTGTGAATCTGGTTGTTGTAATAAAAAGATCATGAGTTTAAAAAATAATAAAAAAATGGATAAAAAACTTATTTTTCATTTTTAATAATTGTTATTAACTTTTGCATAAATAATAAACCGGTTTTTCTTTTTTTAAAACTGCTTATTTTTCCACTTTTAATAGTATAAATTTATAAATTATAATTAAATGATAAACTGTATATTTGAATATATTATTTTCCACTGAATAGTACGATTATAATTAATAACTGATATCTCTGGTAAATTACCAGTAAAGTCAATATTATTAGAATTATAGTGTGTGTTATGTTGTTGGAATTATATTTTTATTATTAAAATATTAATAAAAACCAGTTAAAGTAATGGAAGTTTTTTTTATTCGAAAAATAATTATAGAAAACTTGAAAGAATAAACTTTATTATGATTATTGAATAATAATGTTTATAATTAAATAATTTGTCTCTTAAAATTATTTGGTCAATAAAAATGGCTTTTATTTGTGTGTAAAAACGGGCATTTGGTCAAAATTTCGTGAATTTGTGTAATTATTGTTTATTTTTGTTTCCCGAAATATTAAATATCATGTTATCCAAGATAACTAATGAAGACCAACTTATTTTATATATTATAAAAAGTTTACCCATTCAATCTAATTTTTTCACAAAATAGATTGATTTCTATTAATCAAGTTACTGTAACTTGGTTTGGTTATGTTTTAACTATAAAAGTGAATAATTTGATTCTAGAGTTATTTAATATTCTAGTAACAAATCTATATTTTTTATATATTTTTTTTAAATACCAAAAACTAACTAATTTGTTCGTTAAAAAAACAAAATTATCATGATAAATTACAATAAAATAACTATAATAAAATTCATGTAATTTTTTTTATTGTACCCATTTTTAATAAAAAAAAATATCAAAATCACAATCACTCAATCAATCAGTCCAGTGGTAATGGATGATATCTCAATCTTGACTCATTCATTCCCTTTTCTTCTCTTACTCACTTGTCTGGCTACTTCGCAAAGTTGTTGGCACCTTAACAATTCTTCTTTGCTCTACACTTCAAGCGGAAATTGTGGCAATGAGAAACTCTGTGGGATCAACGTCCGTCGAGACAATGATTTAACCTTCGACCTCACAACATGTTTCGATGGTGTTCTGACAATCGACCCACAAAACTTAACAGCGGACATCCTTTATTTGTACTTTGCGCAAGTCACCGCAGTGAATCAAGTCAACTTTTTTCATTATGCTAATCAGAGTCTTTTAATGAAATTCAACAACGTGGACTATTTAATGCGCGCTAACATTTATAGAACAACAGAGATGTTTAAAGAGTCGGAAACCATTGCAGTGTCACAAACACCAATTCACGTGTTTCTAACACACAACTTCTTCACGGACATTTCTTACGTCTCGTTAATACGACCGTACATATTAATAGACTGCGACGACGAATTTGTGAGAGAAGACGGAGATGAGAAGACAATCATATTTAGAGATACTTATTATTATCTTCCTAACTGTTCGTATGCGTTCAGTTCATACTTGAGGTTTTGGGATATCTCGGTGTATGCACTTAGAGATATCTTTGTGTTGTGCTCCGTTGGTGAATATCGACGGTTTGCATTGTGTCGAAATATCGACAAGGAGGATTTAATCAATTTTAAAGACTGCTCGTGCTCGATCAAGTCGAACTATTCGACTGCAGTTGTCGAACATTTGAACTTCAATTTTCCCGATTGCTTCTTCCAGAGCGAGCACTTCAACTTAACAATTTTCGACTATCAACAACTTGTGGTTTTTAAAGGAAACGATGCGACCCATTGGAGGAGTTTTAATATCAAAAAGCGCACGGAAACGTTACAAATCGAAACGAACAGTGAAATCGTGTTGAGTGAAAATGTGACTCTTCCAACAACTCAAGTCGTCTTTATTGGCAATTTTTTGTTTTCTAATTTGACAATCGAAAAGACAGAAAGTGGGCGTTCACATCATTTGGGCAATTTCAGTGCGAGTACAATAACATTAATTGGATTTGACGACAACGACATTCTGTTTTTTGGCAGTTCGAAGGATCCAAGTGTCTCGTACGATGGAATTAAAGTTGCTTGTGAATTTCTCGAGGAGTCGCGATTTGTGTTAGAAACTTCTTCGATAGGATGTGAGTGTATTTTCAATGGAGTATACAGTTACGAGGACTGTGAGAAGGTGGGGGAGGTAGAGAGTCACCACACATTAATTTTGGAAGAGAATGTCGTGTACAATCGAATTGCCAATTTCAGAGAAATCATCTTCAAGAATGGAGCAACACTCAATGAAAATGTTGAATGTAAAGTGTGTAAAATTAAAGGGAAAGTTGTTATAAAATCCAATTTTCTTTGTGATGAAATGGAAGTTGCGGCTAACAGTGAAGTGACAATACATGGATCTTTGACAACGAAAATTGTCACTGTGAGTGGAGACGCAAATTTCATATTTTTTACTTACAACATTTTGAATATCGAGAAGCTTATTTTGAACGCAAATTTGAGAGTTTCTGGAAATTCAATGAAAATCGGGGAGCTTCAAAATATGAAGGCAAATACATTGCAAAACAACTTAGAAATCTTCGCATTGAAAATTGTGTTGAACGAGGTGTTGTCACTAAGCACGAAGAACGACATTTATATTGGATTGAGTGAAGGAGAACACAATATCAATTTGAATGCCAATTCTGCGACTTTATGTAACGAAATTGTCAAATTAGGAGATGTTGCTGTGACACGAGGAATATATGTAGATAACGTGAGTCAGCTTTCTATTGTGTCAATATCCAAAATACCAAGCGAGTTCTTATTACTATCACAACCAACAGAAAATCCGCTTATAATTACACAAGTACCAACGTTGAATGGTGTCAATGGAGTTTATTTAACAATTAATAAATACCGCAAATTGGTATTCTCAGAGAGTGAACATGTCGATTATGTTTACAACAACCAAATTGTTTCTATTGGGAAACCCACACAATACTTCGATTTTCCTTTTCGTGAAGAAAAGACGTGTAAACCCATCATGCAAAACGAGCAAATGATGTATATCGATGAAGACGGAAATGTTGATTATTCGTGTTGGCCGTCAGTCAAAAACACGCACACCATTTTAGAAATAAATACGACAATGAACTACATGATGTCAAGTGAAGAGAATTACAACCAAATCAACGTCAAAGAAACTTTTAAGTTGGTTTCATCGAACAAAGAATTGTCGCTCGTATTTTACAACGACAAAAGTGTTACTGTCGAGGGAGATGGAAACATAATTCAAACTACTCAAAGTGGCGTTTCTGAGAATTCGTTAAATGAAATTTACATTGTTGGTAGCGCAATTTTGATGTCAGACAAGTCACTTGGGATGGACTTTGAAAACAACACTATTGTTATTTCAAAAAGTGGTAAATGTGCTATCATGTTGTTTAGCTCAACTCAACAAACATGTGTTAAGTGTCGTTTTACAAGCACTGAATCTTCCATTTGCCAAATCGTTCAGCACAATGACATTAATTGTATACACGCTGGAAGTTCTGGTGGGTGTGAACTATGTAACGACGGGTTTTATTATGATGTAACAACGCAAATATGTCTTTCATGTGTGCCTCATTGCAAAAATTGCAATGATGCAAAAACATGTGTTGTTTGTGATGACACTTACGAGGTACAAAATGGAACATGTGTCTTAAATGAAAACTGTTTACTCTTCTCAAATCAAAAGTGTTTGAAATGTCCCTCTAAGTCATCGGTCAATCCACAAAGAACACGGTGTAATGAAAGTTGTGGTTCTGGGTGTTTGTCGTGTTATGGGAATGAGTGTCAAATTTGTTCAACGAGTGAAAAGTACATTAAAAGTTCTTTAGGTTGTTCGCTTGTCTCATCTTCCGCGTTTTTATCCAATTTGATTGTTGAGAGTTGTGAGCCTGGATATTATACTACATATCAAACAACGTGTGAGAAGTGTCCAGAACACTGTTTGTCGTGTTATTTCGATTTTTTGTTAAACGACATTTCTTGTACGTATTGTGAATCTAATTATATTTTATCACAAAGAATTTGTGTGTTATTAAACACAACTTATTGTACATCGTCTCGTCTTTCTAAGTGTGTTTCTTGCTCTTCCAAGTATTATTTGAATGCACAAACTGGCATTTGTGTCTCATGTGGCACTCATTGTAATTCATGTGATAACCTTGGGAATTGTATTTCATGTGAGTTGAACTCTTATTTGACTGTTTCGACGTATTTAGGAGGAAAGGATTACTGTGATACACAGCCAGTCACTGGTTGTGCGAAATACACAAATGGGAAATGTACCCGGTGTAATCCACGATTCTATTTGGACACTTACAAATGCTATGAATGTTCCACAAATTGTGTGAACTGTATTAAACCCGAAGACGGGCAACTTTTTGGCACGTGTTATACTTGTGAAAACGGCTTCTTACTTGAAAACAATCGATGCAAATCTTCAGTTAACGAGTCCCCCCACTGCGCATTAGCTTTAATGAACGATATAAGTCATTGTGTTGTCTGTGAAACAGACCACTTTCTCTTGAATGGGTCATGTCTTTCGTGTTCCAGTTTTTGTTCGAAGTGTTTGAGTGATTTGGAGTGTTTAAAATGCTTCACCAATTATTTTGTCAATGAGACGTATTCATGTGAGAAGACAACACACTTAAAAGGATGTGCCGTTATTGGTAATTATGGGTGTGAAATGTGTGACGATGGATATTCCCTCATTAACAACACGCGGTGTGTTCCATGCGTGTCCATTGCTGAACATTGTGCGGTGTGTGATAAATATTCGTATCGGTGTAAAAAGTGTCAGACCAGTTTCTATCTCTCAGAAAGTAAATGTGTGAACTACTCGAATGTCGCTTTCTGTGTTGAAACAAATGGCGAATTTTGTACTAAATGTTCTTTTTGGCATAAAGTGAGTTCTGAACAGCTCAATCAATGCGAGAATAGTCCAGTGTGGTGGGTCATTTTATTTATAGTTATCACAGACATCATATTTATCACATCCGTCTCATTACTTGCTGCATTTGTTCTTAACAAATCGATTCAAAAAGTCGTTCAAATGACTCGGAATATGACTGTTCCCGAAAACATGGTGATTTTCGATGCTACAAAAACAAACGAGAAATGGAACTTCTTTAAACGCAGTTCGGTGGGGGTGAACACCCTACTCTTGACGTTTGGAAGTGACAACAAACCCATTCCAGTCAATGAATTTTCAAAGCAAAGCATTTCATTTGGCAATTTGAAAGGCCGCCACACAGTGATCATCTCGATCGTGTCAGAGATGATCACCACAAAGAAGTACGAAATCCTTTCTACGCCCAACAAAGTTGTTTTAAAGCGACGAGAAGGGTGCAAAGTCGAAATATCAATTAAGCCACTTTGCTCGACACATATTCAAGACAAACTGCAAATTGTCGTTGACGACGCGTTTAACGGGAAACGAACAATTGAAACAGTGAGCATGGAAATCGTGACGGAAGTAACAACAAGTCTCGACTATTCAGAAGTCAAAGAAGAGAGTTATTTGGGTGCTGGTGGGTTTGGGATTGTATATAAAGGGACATTTTTGTGCAATACCGTTGCAATCAAAAGGATGAAAGAGCACACAATGTTGCTTGACAAAATCGACGAATTTGAGAAGGAAGTTGCGATGTTGGACAAATTCAGGAACGCGTATATAGTGCACTTCTATGGTGCTGTTTTTGTCCCGACAAAAATTTGCATTGTCACCGAATACGCCGATTTTGGGAGTCTCCACTCGGTCATGGAGAACAGGAAGAAGTCGCCTATAACAAACAAAATGAAGACAAAGATCTGTTTAGACGCTTCAAAAGGGATTTTGTATTTACACATTAATGGGATCTTACATCGAGACATAAAGCCAGATAACATCCTCATTTTCTCGTTAGAAGAGAACGTCACTGCAAACGGCAAACTGACGGACTTTGGATCGAGTCGAAATATCAACAGTTTGATGGAAAATATGACATTCACTAAAGGCGTTGGTACTCCTATTTATATGGCCCCCGAAGTACTTCTTGGGTTCAAATACAAAACACCTGCTGATGTGTATTCGTTTGGAGTGAGTATGTACGAGTGTTTCATATGGCAAAGACCATTTTTAGATAAAGGATTTAAGTATCCATGGAACATAATAAAATATGTTACCAGTGGTGAACGTCTTCCACGAACGGAAACTATAGACATTGCGACGTACGATTTGATCAATGACTTGTGGAAGCAAAGTGCTTTAGAACGATCCGAGATGAAAGAAGTTGTCGAGAGACTTGAGAAGATGTTTCTAACGATGTAATTCACTGTTTTTACTGTTACTATAATGTCAAAGCAAAATCAATTAAATGTCACTTGACCAATACAAAGCAACGTTTGGCCCATTCTCTTCATATCGCTGTTTATCAACGAAGAGATTGAACGTGGAAAGGCGGGAATAGACTTTTGCTCCTGCGCAAATGTCGTTATATGGTCGTTCACTTTTAGACACATGAACGTGCGCGGTGACGTTCTCATGAGAAGAAATCATTGTTTGCAGTTTTTGAGTCAATCCGTGCATATTGGCATTTCCTCCACACAACATTATATTGTTGTATAACTTCGGTCTGTCTTCCTCTTTGTTTTTCATGATAAGGGCAATCACTTCGTCTGAAACACCTTTCCCTTCTTTGGAGGCGATTTTGGGGTCAAATAGAATTTCTGGCGCTTGAAGTCTCTCATCGCCAAATGCAATTTTACTGTTGTCGGGGAGAACAAACTCAACTTGAATGTGTTTTTGGTACTTCCCTTCTTTCTCTTCAAAGCCACAGATATCTCGTTTAATGTCGTGGGCTATTTTCAACGCAGTAAAATCGGACAAATCGGGTACTTTATCTTTGTTCACGTTCACTATAAACTTAGTAATGTCTTGAGCACCTATATCAAGCTTCTTTACATAGTCCTTGTTTCCTTTTTGGTCACAGAACGTCGCAATTTCCGTACATGAATCGCCAGAGTCAATCACAGTAACATTGGGACTTTGAGACAAAAAGATTGGCATATAAATCGACTTATCAAAAGCCACAGCATTGATCTTTTCTTGTTCAAACAACAGTTCTGAAACAAATTTTCTCTGAGAAAGTGGAACACCTAAATGTTCGGGGAAAAAGAAGTTATTCATCTCTGGGCAAATACACATCTCATGACAACATATATGATTGATCAGTTCAGAAATATCATCTTTGTTTGCAAAAATTCCACTTTTTAGAGGGACTGTTATATCTAGAATCGAACTTTTTGAAAGTGCAACGTCACCAAACCAAATTCCACGATTGGTTTGCAAATCAAGAGCACAGAGAACATTTCTATTGGGGTTCATACGGCCTATAACTGTCGGCATTGAAAAAAGTTCATTGTGATAATCAGTGAAGACGGAAGAGTATGCCCCAAAGTCAATAATAATTGTTGATGGTCCTACAGTCATTATGTTTTAAAAGTAATATTTGATAATTATTAAATGTTTAATCCAAAAATAATTATTAATTAAATGTTTAACCAAATTGATTTGGCAAACCAATAAATACAATAAAAATAATTATAATATATAGTTATAGTTTTCGATATTGTAAACAATGTTGTGAGGAATTTACTTGTTTTTTCATTAAATCAAATCATTTAAAACATTCATGATCTTATTAATACATTTAACTTAAATTTATAATAAAAATAATAATAAAACATAATGTTATTTTTTAAAAATTTTTTATGTTGGGAATTAAAAAAAAATATAAAAATTTCATTTTAATATTAATTAGTAATAAATAATAAAATTATAACAAAAGGAATAATACAAATTACCATGATAAAAAAATATTCACATTTTATTACCAACTTTTTTAATAATAGTTACTATATACAGATAGTAGAAAATTTGGGTGTCAAGAATAAATTGGGTGTCAGATTGATTTTGAGTTATTTAATGGTTTTTCATATTTTTTTTTGGCAGGGGGAAATAAAAAAAAAAGAAACCCATTATTTTACATTAACTAATCCCTAATTTATTTGACACCCAATTTATTCCTGACACCCTATTTTTCTACTATCTGTAAAAGATTATATATTTTGTATAGTATTATTTAATTATATATAAATAATATTAATATATAATATATAAAGTCTGTTTTCTATTTAACGATATTGGGTTTTTACTATGAATGATAATAACAGTATTATAATTTATAATAAAAATAAAGTGGTTTTTCTAAAAAATGGTTTGTATTTTATTTTTTTGTTCTTTTTTTAAAAATATGTGTTAAAAATAACAAAAAACAAAATGGCTAAACAACTGAAAAAATTATAAAGCCGAAACGAAGAATAGGTTGGCGTTGAAATGTGAATACAAAGAAATAAACTATGTCAACCGGGTTATTCGAAATGAATAAAATGTCATGTTAGATGGAGCAGACACGTCAAATTATCATTTGGGTCAAATTGAAAACGACAACAAGTGATTTGGAAAAAAGTCAATGCCCAGGATTTGTTTACCATTAGTTTTAATTAATGACAATTTTATTAATAGTTAATGGTTTTTAATTAGCGATATTGGGTATAGTAAATAATGGTTTAATATTTTCGGTCTAGTTCTCTTCTTTGTTATATTTTTAAAATATCGCTAAATAGAAAACAGACTTTAGTTTGAATTGATATTAAAAAATGAATGTTGGATAATTGTAAATTAATTGTACTGAACAACAAATGTACTAATTATTCAATTTATTAGTTTAATTTGAATGCATACACAAACAATGTATAGTATGTTACATAAACTAATACTAAATTAACAAATTATAATATTTATTTAGTATTTTAAAAAATATATATTATGGGACTTTATAAAAGTAATATATAATTGAATAATTTTTTTTATTATTAATTATAACAAAAAATTTTTATCCATATTATATTTATTATATAACTCTTTCTTAATTTACACAATCAATTAATTACAAATATTGAGAGATATTAGCCAAATAACATCCATTAAAAGGGCAATATGGTTCAAGATATATATTTGGTGCGATTAGATGACAATATATAATAGATGTTGACCCGTACCTTAATAGTCTTCCATTTTGTAGTAAGGTGAAGCCACTTGGTATGTGTTCGATGGTCATTTCCTCTTCTGAAAACGCGAAGTCGAAGTCGAAAGTGTTGAACCCAGGCCAGAAAGAAAAGTTTTGTGGAAAGGAGATGTGACTTTTGATACTGAAAATTGCAACATCACGTGGTGCTCTGTTCATGACCTGAAATATTGTAGAAGAAGAAAAAGAAATGTTGTCGGCTTGAATAGAAAAGACACCGTCTACTATCATCCATCCAGAGAACTCTAAAGTACCCGTTTTGATACCAAACAATTGAAGACTATCATGGAGAGTCACTACACTCCCAGATAAAATTTGTGTTAATTTAGAAACATTGAAGGAGGCTCCACTAGTAATATCTATATTACAGAACCGTCCAAGTAACATGGATTCACAAAATAACGAAGAATTTCCTTTGAGTGTGATTTGACTATACTTTGCAGTAAACTCGTTGGCGCAAGTGAGGTTGGAAGAACCAGACAATGTCAAAGATCCCGTGTTGTGAATGTTTACTTTATTAACTTCGGCTGTTGCGTCGTCTGCAAGGAAGCAACTACTGCTAGTGATCAAATTAAGATTATTATGAACTTTGAGTCTTGACGAATTTTGAAGAGTGATTTGCGAAAAAATGAGATCAATTCCCAATGCCTCAACATTTGCTGTATTTAGAATATTTAATATTCCATTTCCAGTTAATATAATGCCACCTTCTGAATTAAAATAAGAGTTTCCTGATACACTCAAACCACTTTTCTGGTTCAAAATTACTAACTTTTTTACTATAAAATTTGTCGAGTCTGAAAGTTCAAAATTTGAATTGAAAACAGCCATTGAGAGAAAGACCAAAATGTGTGAAGTGTTGTGAGTAGAAATAGACGTCGTGTTAAACAGCACTTGTGTACTAAACGTTGTGTTTGAGTTGTTTTGAAAACTAAAAACAGAACTATATGAAAACAATTTGTCAACAAGACACTCTTCAGTCAAAACGACACTTTCGTTAATAACCTGAGACGTTTTGGGACACGAAGAAAGTGTTCTTGTCAACAGAACGATAAAGAGTAAAGTTGGCATTGTGATTAAAGATTTGTTGGTAATCAATTTTGTTGATTTACGATAACAAAACCCCA